TTGAAGCAGGAGAGGGTGGAGAGTGGACGTTTACCCATTGAAGCAGGAGAGGGTGGAGAGTGGACGTTTACCCACTGAAGCAGGAGAGTCCCTAGTCTTCCGAACCCAGTACTACTGGACCGTCACTGACAGACAGACGAGCCTCCGTTTCCTCATCTGAAAGTGATGATTCCAAAGCCTGCTCTGTTTGCATCCAAAGCCTGTTAGCCTGGTCTAATATGATAGATAAGTTTGTATATGCGGTCTTAGGAAAGCACAAGGGAGTAGTACCGTGAAGTTCTTGCTGCGATCTTGCAACCTGCAAATAGGTCCCAAATTCTATCATTGTCCTCTTTCCTAGTAACTATCAGTCAGGATGTGAGCCCACATCAGTGGCCTGGGCCCAGGGAGTCCAGCCTCACTATGAGGTTTCAGCTCTCTCCACCTGTCTGCCCTATGCTCTTCTAGCTCCTGGTGACCACTGGGGTAGCTCCTGAGGCCCAGATCCTAGTAACTGACCGCTCTTCAGTCCATGAGATAATGGCCTTCTAGGTGAGCAGGCTGGGGTGAGCAGCAAACAAGGGGCTAGGGAGTACTGGAGGCAGGCCCTTTGTGACTTTGAAATATCTTTGGAGTTTTCAGAGACCACCTTTGCATACCTTGGAATTTTGCTGTTACATCTGTCATTTGGATGTATTAATTTAGTATCCAAAGGGATGCAGTTCATAGCAGTCTTTTTTGTTGGTGGTGGGGGTAGTGGGACTATCCATCATGAAACATATACCATTTCGACCACATCTACTTGTACAGCTCAGGGACATTGATGACGTTCATTGAGTGGGGCAGCCATTCTTAGCCTCTTCTTCCGAGTTGTCCTGTCCCCATTCATACAGGGCTCACTGTGCCCTGCAGTTCCTAGCTAATCTCTCTCTTGCCAATTTGATACTGTGCAGCTAATTTTTCAAAGGAGCATGATGCTCAAGGCAGATATTGTTTTAACTAGTTAACTAAATGATGATTTAATTTTAAGAAGACTTTAGGGGGTATTTAAGGTTTAAAGTTTATCTCAGGGCAAGAATTTCAGGGGCTTATCCAATCTCTTGGAAGTCTGGAGTCCATGAGAATTTGATTTCTGTTCTACATAGACCTCCTGGTGAGCAGGATTTTTCTTTGGAATCTTTGATCAAAATGTTCAGTCAATGTAGTCTGGCACCATCCGGTTCTGGTCTCGAGGCAGAAGCAGTAACTGGTCACACATTCTGATTCCTCCAGACTCTCTTTCGCTGTTGCTTCAGGTGAATAGAGACTATTGGCTGTGTCTTGGCTATTGACAAGCTTTTTAAGGCACTATCCATCCAACTAAAAGGTAGACCAGAAAAAATAACATGCTACTCAGGCAATTAATGGGGATGGCCCATGAAACACTATCACGTTGAATAAGGTTACTGTTTCGCCACCAATGATTATAACTGCTATGAGCTAAGTGGTACAGCTATAATAAGCTGAATCAGTGAAACTTAATGCGTTAGATACACAAGGGGGCTTCAAAAAGTTCGTGGAAAAATGGAATGAAAAGATTTTTACTTTTCCTATAAACTTCCTGGAGCCTCATCATTTTTCCAACAATGACAAAGGAAAAAAAATTTAGCTGCCAAGGCTGCTTCTCATGTACAACCAAACACCTCAGATAATTTAGTGTCTTGGTTTGAGGGCAGAGGGTCACAGAGTCATCTTTGAAGTGGAACATCAGGTTTGTCAGAGCAGCTCCCTTTATAAGTATTCATTTGTTCAAACATTCACAATTCACCTTTGGATGGAGGCACTGTGTAGTGCCCACAGTCTAGTCTTAAGACTTTCAGAACAGCAAGCCCTCTCTACCCCTTGATGGCTTTGTGCCCAAGTAACTCTTGAACCTCAGGGTTCTCACACATAGAAAGGGCCCATTCATCTTCCCTCACACCCTTGTCAGGAGGAAGAGCTGAAAGCTTGGGGCCCAATCCAGAGTGGGTACCTGAGTGTCTCACTTTTTCTCCCACCCATTTCACTCCCTCCTGTGATCAGAGGCTGTCAGTGGAATCGGT